ACTATAGACTAGACTATAGACTAGACTATAGACTAGACTATAGACTAGACTATAGACTAGACTATAGACTAGACTAGACTATAGACTAGACTATAGACTAGACTATAGACTAGACTATAGACTAGACTATAGACTAGACTATAGACTAGACTATAGACTAGACTATAGACTAGACTATAGACTAGACTATAGACTAGACTATAGACTAGACTATAGACTAGACTATAGACTAGACTATAGACTAGACTATAGACTAGACTATAGACTAGACTATAGACTAGACTATAGACTAGACTATAGACTAGACTATAGACTAGACTATAGACTAGACTATAGACTAGACTATAGACTAGACTATAGACTAGACTATAGACTAGACTATAGACTAGACTATAGACTAGACTATAGACTAGACTATAGACTAACTATAGACTAGACTAGACTAGACTATAGACTAGACTATAGACTAGACTATAGACTAGACTATAGACTAGACTATAGACTAGACTATAGACTAGACTATAGACTAGACTATAGACTAGACTATAGACTAGACTATAGATAGACTAGACTATAGACTAGAACTATAGACTAGACTATAGACTAGACTATAGACTAGACTATAGACTAGACTATAGACAAGACTATAGACTAGACTATAGACTAGACTATAGACTAGACTATAGACTAGACTATAGACTAGACTATAGACTAGACTATAGACTAGACTATAGACTAGACTATAGACTAGAATATAGACTAGACTATAGACTTGACTATAGACTAGACTATAGACTAGACTATAGACTAGACTATAGACTAGACTATAGACTAGACTATAGACTAGACTATAGAATAGACTATAGGATGGACTTTATACTGGACTACGTTCCAGCCAATAGACGAGACTATATACAGGCTATAGTCCAGACCATAGACAAGTCTATAATGCAGACTTTTGGCCAGGCTATAATATACCAGACTGCAGTAAAAAAACTAATTAGTAAAGTAATTTAGAGGTTTCTATATTTATTTTGTATTTTTGATTTCTAATTAATCATTTTAAAACTATTACTGTTTAATAAAATGTTACATATTTTTTCAATTATTTTTAATATATTTTTTTTAGTTTACTTTTAAAATCTAATCATAAAAATTAAACATATAAAACCAACTTGTACATATTTTTATTTGCTTAAAATATAAACCAAAATAATTAATATTAATAATAATTTATACGTTACGCTTCGTTACATTTTTAATAATTTAGTTTAAAATAATTAATACATACTCATACAGTTTTGATAACAATTTCCTATATAGAAAAAACAAAAAAAACTTAAAAGTTTATTATTAATATGCCCCAAAGATTTTTAAACTTTAAAAGAAGTAGAAAAAATATAATTTACAAAAAGAACTAAATAAATAACAACTATCACGTAAAAAACATAAATTTTTATGTTTTGTTTTTCTTTTCTTTGCTACTGTTACATTATTTATACTGTTCTAACGAGATTTGTTCTCATTTTCCATTTCTGTCAGTGTACTTTGGCATTTTACTAAGAATGTTATTGCACTTTTCCATACAAAACAGCAACAATAAATACATATTTCTATTCCCCTTTCTCTCTGTAATTTTTTTCCTTGTGCCAAATGTTTTCTGCTTCTTCTTTATACAATATTATGTATTGCTGCTGTTTTGTTGTGCCAAAATGACGTTTATAATTTTGTTATGTTGCTTTGCTTAGCACACGTTCTCATTGCCAACAATAATAATAATAATAATGTTTGTAACCAACCATGTTAATACTTGTATTACATAGTAGTTAGTAGTTTTATATTTAAAATATAAGTTTTTTTTTTATTTTAGTTCCTGTTTATATAATAATCACTTGAAAATGTTTAAAATTGTCAAGGAGGAAGTTGTCTGAGGAGGAAGTATTTTTAATGAGATTTTATAATTTTGTATAACTTTAGTGTATAAAGTGGTCTTGTGTATAGTCTGGACTATAGTTAACCCTATAGTCTGGTTTATAGATTAGTCTATAGTCTGGACTAGAGATTAGTCTATAGTCTAAACTATAGTTAATCCTATAGTCAGGTCTATAGATTAGTCTATAGTCTTGACTATAGATTAGTCTATAGACTGGACTTTAGTTTAGTCTATAGTCTGGACTATAGATTAGTCTGTAGTCTGGGCTATAGATTAGTCTATAGCCTGGGCTATAGATTAGTCTATAGTCTGGGCTATAGATCAGTCTATAGTCTGGAAATAGTCTGGACAATAGATTAGTCTATAGTCTGGTCTATAGATATGTCTATCGTCTGGACTATCGATTCGTCTATACTCTGGATTATAGATTAGTCTACTGTTTTACCTAAAGATTAGTCTACAGTCTGGGCCATAGATTAGTATATAATCTGCTTTGTAGATTAGCCTATAGTATCGACTATATATTAGTCTACAGTCTGCGCTATAGATTAGTCTATAGCCTGGACTATAGATTAGTCTACAGTCTACGCTATAGATTAGTCTATAGTGTGGACTATAGATTAGTCTATAGTCTGGACTATAGATTAGTCCATAGTCTGAACTATAGATTAGTCTATAGTTTGGACTATAGATTAGTCCATAGTCTGAACTATAGATTAGTCCATATTCTGAACTATAGATTAGTCTATAGTCTAGTCTATAGTCCAGTCTATAGTCTAGTCTATAGTCCAGTCTATAGTCTAGTCTATAGTCTAGTCTATAGTCTAGTCTATAGTCTAGTCTATAGTCTAGTCTATAGTCTAGTCTATAGTCTAGTCTATAGTCTAGTCTATAGTCTAGTCTATAGTCTAGTCTATAGTCTAGTCTATAGTCTAGTCTATAGTCTAGTCTATAGTCTAGTCTATAGTCTAATCTAGTCTATAGTCTAGTCTAAAGTCTAGTCTATAGTCTAGTTTATAGTCTAGTCTACAGTCTAGTCTATTGTCTAGTCTAGTCTATGGTCCAGTCTATAGTCTAGTCTATGGTCTAGTCTATAGTCTAGTCTATAGTCTAGTCTAGTCTATAGTCTAGTCTATAGTCTAGTCTATAGTCTAGTCTATAGTCTAGTCTATAGTCTAGTCTATAGTCTAGTCTATAGTCTAGTCTATAGTCGAGTCTATAGTCTAGTCTATAGTCTAGTCTATAGAGTAGTCTATAGTCTAGTCTGTAGTCTAGTCTATAGTATATTCTATAGTCTAGTCTATAGTCTAGTCTATAGTATAGTCTATAGTCTAGTCTATAGTCTAGTTTATAGTCTAGTCTATAGTCTAGTCTATAGTCTAGTCTATAGTCTAGTCTATAGTCTAGTCTATAGTCTAGTCTATAGTCTAGTCTATAGTCTAGTCTATAGTCTAGTCTATAGTCTAGTCTATAGTCTAGTCTATAGTCTAGTCTATAGTCTAGTCTATAGTCTAGTCTATAGTCTAGTCTATAGTCTAGTCTATAGTCTAGTCTATAGTATATTCTATAGTCTAGTCTATAGTATAGTCTATAGTCTAGTCTATAGTCTAGTCTATAGTATATTCTATAGTCTAGTCTATAGTATAGTCTATAGTATAGTCTATAGTCTAGTCTATAGTCTAGTCTATAGTCTACTCTATAGTCTAGTCTATAGTATAGTCTATAGTCTAGTCTATGCAAGGTCATTGAAACACTACATAACATTTCTTATTAAATTTCAAGAACCTTTCTAGTCAAAATAAAGCAACTTTATTTGTTTAATTGTTTATTAATAAAACAACTTTTTATCACGATTTTTTCTAATACTTTTACATTCTACTATTATATGAAACATTTGCAAATTCCTATGGAATTAAAATAAATATTATTATGTATACATAGTTTATTCAACTTTTAATAATAATGGACATTAATTGTTAAAAATCTAAAAAAGTGACAGCTTTAAATTATTCTTTATTTACCATTATTATGTATTTTGGTTTCAAATGACATTTTGAGTTTGTTTTGGATACAGACAGAGACGACAGCAGCAAAAAACATAAACAAAGCAAGGTTAAATTAAAAACAATCAAAATGTTGATGTTAATATTACTGTTGTTGTTGTTATTATTATTACTGTTACATTTGTGGATTTAAAAAGAGAGGGTATTGTAGGGAGGGTGATAGATGTTTATAGGAGTATGTATGTAGATTTTTTTCTGCTCTTGTTTTGTTTATACATACATATTAGGAATTATGACAGCTAAGACTTATTTACAATTGTTATTATGATGTTTGTATATAATTGTTATTTGTTTTGGTCTCTAGTTGAAGCTTGCCATATTTATGGGTTTGTGGGTAATGTAATTAAGCATAACATACACATACTTACAGACATATATACTGACTATATATGTAAAAAAACCAAAAACAATTGCTCTTAAGTCTTAATAAAGCAAAAATAATAGAAAAAACAGCAGCTCAGCAACAATTACTTTTTTTAGCAAAAAAAAAAAAAAAAACTAAATGCTTGAATAAGCAACCAGAGCATTTGCAGTTTAATAAAAGAATGTATTGATAAGTTTTTGGTAAAGCAAGCATGTTTCTAAAATGGAACTTAAGGAAAAAAGTGTTAACAATTTGTTTGAAAATATAAAAAGCGCTGAATAAAGGCACATTATTAAATAATTTTAACAAGAAATCACTCTTTTAAACAACTTTTATCTGATTTTATGTCTAGTACTTGTGCAAATTCAAACTTTGTGTGTATATTTGATCTTTTGTTTTAAACATTTTAATTAAACTGTAGTTTAATTTTACACACTCCCTATAAGATGATGTTGTTGTTCATGATGATGATCTACATAAGTACATCACATCACTGTCATGATGTCAAGATCACTTGAACAAAGAAAAAAAAAAAAAAAACTTATGATGCAGTTTTATTTATTTCTAAATTTATATGACCTTGTTTTTGAAAGATTTTCTTTGCTAAATATAATTTTTCTTTATTTTTGTATTTTAATAGCCAAATGAATCGGGTTTCGTTTTATTGGGTGATCTATCGGTTGAAACCTCTACCGATATGGATTATGATGATTTTTCAATGTGTCCACCCTCACCATGTGATGTTGAATTTGTTAATGCAAATATTGTGATTGATGGTAAATCAAGTATTCGACAAAAATCCAAAGATACAACGGTAAGTTAAATTCATTATTAAATTTACATATTTTACATCATGTCAACAATAGTTAAACAAAGAAAAATTTTGGCAAAATTGCATAAAATTGTTTATTTTAGGGTTTTGGTATAATTTTGTAAGAAAATTTAATTGTTTACATAGTTTACCTCATGTCAACAATAGGTAATTAATACGAAATTTTAAAAATTATAGAACAAATGTTATGGAAATTGATTCTTATAAAAATTTGCAATTTTTTACATATTTTACAACATTTGACATGTAAACAAGGTAAACAATACAAAATCTTAAAAATTATGATATAAAAGTTATGGAAATTTAATTAAAATGAAAATTACAATATTTGACATATTTTAAACCATGTCAACAATAGGTAAATAATGAAAAATTTAGGAATAATGTTGTACAATTGATTTTTATATGTTTTTTACATATTTTTGCTTGAAATTCAAAATCATTTAATTGTTTACATTTTTTACACGATGTCAACAATAAGTAAACAGTACAAAATCATAAAAACTATAACATAAAAGTTATGGAAATTAAATTCGAATAAAAATTTACAATATTTGATATATTTTACACCATGTCAACAATAGGTAAACAATGAAAAATTTAGGAAAAATGTTGTACAATTGATTTTTTTATGTTTTTTACATATTTTGTTAGAAATTAAAAATTATTTAATTGTTTACATTTTTTACACGATGTCAACAATAGATAACTAAGATGAAATCTTAAAAACTATAGAACAAAAGTTATGGAAATTGAGATCTTACACAAATTTGCAATTTTTTACATATTGTACACCATGTCAACAATAGGTAAACAATACAAAATCTTAAAAATTATTAAACAAAAGTTATGGAAATTTAATTAAAATAAAAATTTACTATATTTGACATACTTTACACCATGTCAACAATAGGTAAGCAACGGAAAATTTAGGCAAAATATTGTAGAATTGATTTCTAAACATTTTTTACATATTTTTATACAAAAATTCAATAAATCTCAATTGTTTACATATTTTACACCATGTCAACAATAAGTTAACAATACAAAATCTTAAAAAATATGAAACAAAAGTAAAGGAAATTAAGTTCAAATGAAAATTTACAGTATTTGACATATTTTACACAATGTCAACAATAGGTAAACAATGAAAATTTTAGAAAAATGTTGTAGAATTGATTACTATTCGTTTCAAATATTGTTCGCATATTCTACATCATGTTAACATAGGTAAACAATACAAAATCTTGAAAATTATGAAACAAAAGTTATGGAAATTAAATTCAAACAAAAATTTGCATTATTTGACATATTTTACACCAGGTTATTTTTATTAAAATATTTCAAAATCTATTTTTAAGCTTTTTTTTGCTAAACAAACACCCACTTATATTTAAATTCTTATTTCAAATTTTTAAATTTCTTTAACAAAGTCTTTATCTTTGTAATAGCTTTATTTTCAATTGTCCCCTTTTTTTGCAAAAAATAAACGCAAACGGAAATGACAGTTAATATATAATTTTTTTTTAAATAATTGTGTCGTTAGTGTTGGTTTTATTTTGTTTACATCTTTATTTATTTGTTTAGAAAATAATACAGTAGATTTGTTATTGTTATTGTTTTTTTTTTTTTTTTTTGTTTATAAAAATTAAATTTCATTAAAAGTTCTTTTTATGGCATAACGATATAAATGTTTATTGTTAATTTGTTTTTATTTCGCTTTTTATTTTTTGTTTATGGTAAAAAAAATCGTATAGAACTTGAATAAAATATTCCAAGCACATTTTTAAAATAAATGAAAGTAAGTGAGACGACTTTGGGTTAAAGTATTCAAATTAGAATTGTTGAAAAAATTTGTTTTTTAAAGAAAAATCATGTTAGTGATTGTTTTTACTTTAAAAAAAACTGTCGTTTTTTTTTAAAAACTAACTTGGCAGCACTTAATTTTAATTTCGCTGCTTTCTTTATGTTTAACAAACACAGCATAGATGTCATGTTGAGATTGCTCTTTATACTTTGAGTGTTTGCTTAAAACAGCAAACTTGGCAGCACTTAATTTGAAGGATGCTTGAAATTTTGTGTTATATAAACAAAACAAAGACGACATATTGTAAATAAGCTCTCTTTTCACTCTTTTGTTTAGTAAAGAGTTGCCACAGTGTTTATATTAATTAAAATCGCTAGAAAATATAAAATATCCCCTTAGGTATAAAAAACGTATAAAAATGAAAGAAAATTTATAGAATTAATTGAAATAGTTAAAGTAGATGAACAATTTACTTTACAATAAGAAAAAATTAAGAAAATAAAAGGAAATTTAAGAATTATAAACATTTTTTGTAAACAAAAAGTTAAATCAATAAAATAAAACTAGAAAATTGAAAATTTCTGGCGAATATATTGTTGTTTAACTGTTTTTATGATTTTAACCTACTAAACTCTATTTTACCTAAAAATATTGATTAACAAATAGTTTATTATTAAGGCAACGTCTTTATTTATTAGTTGAAGTGCGTGTTTTACATTTTTTAGTTATAACAGTTTAAACAAATTTGCATTTTATTTGTATTTATAAGTAAAAGACAAGGAAGTGTGAGGTAACCAAAAATATATAATTAAAAATTCTGTAAACGTTTTTACTTTTTGTTTAGTTTTTTTTTTTTAAACTAGGTTAGTTTGAAATTACATAATTTTCACGTTTTTTCTCTTTTCTTTTACAGTTCCGCGTACAATTTAATGATACTCTAACATCCACATTTGAATATCCCTCCGAAGCTTCATTAATTGTGGATGATTCATTTAGCGCCTATAATGAAAGCTATACCCAACCCTTGGGTTCTAGCCCTACACATGATGTTAATGATTTTACACATGCATTTCAGAATTTATGTTTAGAAAATATCAACTCTACCATACCACCTCTAACACATCATCATCATGTGGCCGATGAAATAATACAACTGCCAACCTTAAATGCTAGTTCTTCGCCTGCCACCGCTAATAATACCAATAATACCACAGCTACCAAAAATATATTGGGCAATTTACCATTAGGTAAGTTGGAAAAGTTTAAAATTTATTATTATTAACAAATTACTTTAATATTTTAATTATTAAATGGTTTTAAAGGTTATTTTTTTTAAATTTTTAATGGTTTTTTATAAGACTCAATGGTTTTTTTTACAAATTTAAAATTTTTTGTATATTATTTTTTTTAATATATAAGGGTTTAAGGGTTTTTTCTCATATTCTAACCTTATTAACTTTTAAGCAACTAAACCAACAAATTTAAGCATAATAGCAAAAAAAAAAAAGAAACAAATTAATTTAGCAAAACAACATCTTTTAAACTTTTAATTGTTATTTTCAAACTTAATTTCTTAAAAAAATACTTTTTTTTGGAATATTATAGATTTAACTGAAGAGGCTGATTTAATTCCTCCCCCTATACCTCCTCCACCCCTGCCTTCTTCTCTTATTTATTATACATTATCAAACACTTTAACTACCAATACTGGCCCTTTAAAACACACTTGTAAAATGCCCTCTCCAAAGCCTGCGTGCCCCACTAATCCTGCTCCCATCCTTAACAGCGACACCTCCACTATTACCACAACGACCTGTCCACACTGTTCAAAATCTCTTAGACATTTTATGAAAACGTGTTCAACCGCATTTAGCAAATTTTTTCAACGTGTCAGTGACAGGTTCGTTTTTACAAAATTCAACCTTTTTCTCCACTCTGTTTTTATCCTTTAACTTGGAAAACTATTGGCCTTATCATTATTTCCAATTGTTTGTTTCTCTCTCTCTCTGTCTTTTCTACTCAAAAGTCAAAGTAACTCTTAGCTAGTTTTAGGTTAAAAAACATTAAAAACAACATTATTATGTCATTATATTCATCTGATCTCATGAAAATTTAAAAAAATACATCAAAAACTCGTTTTAAAAAAGTAAAACAAAAGAAATTTCATCAAAATTCTTTTAACGCTGACAATTTTCTTAGCAATGGTAACCTTGAACGTTTTAAACCCTCTGGCATCTCACAAATATTAAGTAAATAATAGCAACACAAACTTGGTATCACTTAAACCGTCGAAAATTAGAGATTTAACAAAATTAAACTTGAAATATTTCAATACAAAGAGACCGATAATATTTCATTCACAGTGGTAACACTTGAAGGCAACATCGCAAACTTGGCAGCCTTGTGCAAAGGAAATCCAGTGCAAAACCCCAAGAGTCTGAACTCTCAATGGCAACTCTTTAACTAGAACAAATTTTCATTAACACAAACTTGGCAACATTGTCTTAGGAAAACAAAGATCTTAATCTAAAACTGGAAACAATTTTAATCCTATGGCAACCCTAGTGTGAGAAGTATAGAAGAACGTCACAAACTTGGCAGCACTGTTTTAAGGATAAGCTAAATAAAATGAAGTAAATGCAAATGTAATCAAATTTGGTAGCACTGTTGAATGTATAAGAGATATTCCCGCAAAAATTGGGAATGAAATTGAGAAATTTAGCGATTTTTTTTATAAACAAATTAAATAAATTGTTGACTTTATATAAAAACTTTCGTTTAGTTAAATTGTTCTAGAAATTTTTTAAAAAATTTTAAAACTTTTACATTTGTTGAACATTTCTTGTCTAATTTCTGCAAATATCTTTGAATTACTTTTGAAATTCTTTAATTTCAATCTTTTTTAAACTCTAAAATGCATTTATACATTTCCTTCAATCATATGTATATCATTATAAAGTTCACAAAAGCACTTATTTTCACAACAGTTGCAAAATCAAACTCTCAGCAATCTACCAACCAACATCCCGGTAAAAAAACGTTGTACATTGATACCCATATTCCTTGTTCAAACCCTCCAACCAAAACTAAACAGGAAAATTGTGTACTTTTTAAAAGAAAAATAAAATCCAACCAGTTAAAACAAAATCAAAATACTTAAAATCAATTTTTACAGATTACCCAGATTTACAGAAGGGTATACCATTAACCACGACAGCATCAGCCAAAGAAACGCCAATAAAACCAATAGAAAAGGAGCAGGAAATCGGGAAGAAATCCCGCAAAGATTTAAAACTACCACTGGCAACAGCAGCAGCAGCAACGCCACAAAAACCTCCACTACCCGAGAAACGCTGGCAAATGAGGAAGAACCCGGCTGCAGCCGGAGAAATTTTAAATTTCCCAAATTTAAAACTAAACGAAATAGTAAAGGAGGAACAACCGCGCTACCAGCCTAAAGAGGAGGAAAAGGCAACACCCCTTAAAACAAAAGCCAGAGTCTTAAATAATCCACAATATGCTTGTTTTCTTAGAGAAACGACGGCACCAACTCCTACAGTTAAGAAACCAGTACAACGTTCACGTTCTAATGAATTTCAAAAAACCTTCTCTACTTTCAACGTTTCGGCCTCAGTAGCACGTTCAAATTCTTTAAGAAATTTGGAAACAGGTTCAAAAACCACTACTACATCTGATGCAACTTCTCTCTATTTTTCACCCGAAGTAAATTCTCATGATAAACTTAACCCTACTTTTTCCTTTACCACAACCAGCCAGCCAGTTAATCCAAACGCTAAAGCTCGTTTAAGTTCCTTTTTAGTAAAAAACCAAGAATCCCAAGAACGTACACAATCTTTGAATAATTTAATAGAGAAACCACAAACTAATTGCGATCAGAGATCAACTTTCTCAAAATCCCAAGAAATTTTTCGTGAATTAACAAAATCTCAAGAAATTTTTAAAACAAATAAAGAAAACCCTATAATTCCAGAAAATCTCCCTAAAAATAAACAGGATTTAACAAAAGTAACCTCAAAATCAAACAAAATTAATAAAACGCAAATAAATTCACAAGAAAATTTCCTAGAAAACGAAAATTCTTTAAAAATTTTGGAAAATTCTTTAAAAATTTCCGAAAATATCGACAATTCCCAAAAATTTGCAATGAATTCTAACAATGAAACCAAAATTCATTTAAATAACAAAGAATTTCAAGAAGATTCAAAACAATTAACAAAAATTAACAAAAACCTAGAAAATGTTTCTACAACAAGCACCCTAACAGATTTTAACCCTCTGGCAACACTTGATTATCAAGTAAATAACAGCAACACAAACTTGGCAGCATTGTCTAATGTAAATAAACAAATGAAAGAGAATCTTTGTGAAACCATACAAATTGGGAAAAATTTAACAGAAATACAATCTAAAAACACAAATTTTAAAGAAAATTCTTCAGAATTAACAGAAGTAGATTACAAATTAAAAAATTTAGATATACATTTACCAAAAAATCAAGAAAGTTTAATGGATTGCCAAAATTTAACAAAATCTTTGGAAATTTCCAAAAAATCCCAAGAATTACTAAGTACTTTAAGCAATTTGGAGGAATCTAGAGATTTGAATGAAAATTTAAACGAAAATTTCTCTAATTTCATAGATAAACTTAAAGAGTCTATAGACAGATTAGAAACGACTGATAAATTTGTGTTTGAAACCAATAAATCAGATAAACAATTTGAGAACTGTAAAAAATCTGTAGAATCGTTAGATTTAACATTTAATGCAAATTATTTAACAGATATTGAATTGAAAATTAAAGAAAATTATCCCGCCAGACAAATAAAGAAGTTAAATTTGAATAATAAAGATAAAACTCCAGATTCTTCCATATTGAAGGGAAATAATGATAATTTAAAAGAAGATGCTAAAAAATTATCAGGAAATGAGACCTATAAGACTCTAGAAGTTCTAGATACTTTAGAGAATTCATTGGAGAATTCAGCAAATCTTTCATTAAAAGAAGAATCAATTTCTAAACAGAATGCTTCTCAAACTTTTACACCAAAATCCGAAATTGAAAACGAAATTTCCCAGATTTTAATGAATTCTTCCACTCCAAAAGAGTTTAAATCAAAATCTGTTAACCATATAGATTTAATCGATGAAAATCTAACACAAAATTCTTTGGAATTTACTCAATCTCTTAATAATTTACAAACCCTGGAAATTAACGAATATTTAGCAAAAGATTTCGCAAATTCTGTTAATAACATAGAATGTTTTCCCGTTAATTCGAATTCTGTTAATAACATTGAGTCTTTAGATTATAGCAAAGACTTAACGGTTGTTTATATAGATGATTGTGAATATTTATATCAAAATCATACCAAATCTTTAGAAAATTTTAAAGAAACTAAAGATTTTCCAAGAAATGAAACTAAATCATTAGAAAATTTCAAAACTGAAGCGTTAATTTTTGAAAATATTGAGGAAACTAATGAAAATATAGAAACTGCAAATAATTTTAATAAAAATCCACAAACTAAGCAGTCAATGGTAACTCTAGACGATTTTAACTGTATGGCATCTCCTGAAATAGAAATGAGTATCAGCAACACAAACTTGGCAGCATTGTCTAATGAAAACAAAGAAATAACAGAAAAATTTACAGATTCTTCAATAAAAAACAAAACTCCTGACAATTCCCTAGATTCCTCAGCAGAGGAGCAAATAAAAAGTGAATATGATTTAGAAAATATTGAAAATTTAACACCAGCTAGGTTTGAATCTAAAAGCGTTCAATTAAAACCCCTGCACGCTATATCTTTAGATTCTTTGGAAGCCGATGAAACTAACGAACAAACGATTTGTGTGGAATTAGATGAAGGTGAAGTTTCTTCTATAGTTATACAAGATGTCGATATAGAACTTGAGGGCTGTTCACCTTATGATTTTAATTCCCTGTTACATTTAAAGAAATCCAAAACTTCCTATTGTTTACAACAATTAGAGAAATCCTTTTCCGAAGAATCACAAAGTCTAGACAGTACTTTAGGTAATGAAGAGTTTAACTATATAACAGCCTGTAATACTTTGCCCTCTAAATGGTCTTTTAAACCGGCTGAAATCGTTCCATCTCCTTTAGCCACTAAGCAAAAAATAGCGCCCAAAAAACCCAAAACTTTGCGCGTTAAAACCACAGAAAAATTACTAAATTTTACCTCCATGGCCTCGCATAATGTCTCCACATATGCCTCTTTTCGTAAATCGAAAAATTTCTATAAAAATGCCTCCAAATCTTTTAAGAATTCATTGAAATTCTATGAAACTTTTAGTGAATCGAACTCTTGTACCCAAACCTGTCCCTTAAGTCCGGTAAAAAGATCTCTCAGCTTGCCCGAGAATCAAATAAAAATGGCGGAAATTAATAGGAAACTATTTGCCAAAACGGGTAAAATAAAAATGAAGTTGAGAAATTCCAATGAATGGCAATCGGCCACCGAAAAATCTCAATCATTTGATTTTTTTGATAAGGTGGGTGATCAAAATGGGAAGCTAGGTAAACGGGGAAGGATAGGAGATATTGCCGATTTAGAAAAGATAGAAAATTTTATGGAGTTTTTTAAAGAAACTGCCAAATTGAAAGAAATTTTAGATAGTAAAGAGAGTTTGGTAAATCACGACCCTAATGAAGCGGAGGTTCCAAATGCAACATTAGAAAATGAAAATTTGGAAGCTACTTCTTGCAAAGATTCGAATATGGAACCTGAAATATTATTATCCGAAAAATCTCTTAAATTAAAACCACTATATAAGGAAGCAACTTTCAATACAAGTCCCCAACCTTTTGAAGTCAACTATGAGATCACCACGTTTGTGGGAGCAGAAGAGAGAGAACTGGAAGAAATCTCTTCTTTGAGTGATTTAAAGGCCCCGGGAGAGTTTCATTGCGAGTCAAACTCAGACTTAAACAAATCTACCCAAATAAGTTCTAAAATAACTTCTGTTAGTTCCCTAGAATCAGAAGAAACCACTTCTTTGGATAAGTTAAAGGACCCTGGGGATCTAACATCAGATTTTAACAAAACTCTTGAGACTGCTGAAGAATCGTTTACAAATTCTGAAACTTTGAAGGAAAGTTGTTGTTTCGAAAAAAATGAAACTTTTTTTGCTAATGATGTTGATAATAAAGAGGGAACTTCCACTACTTTAGCAGCATCTATTGGAACTCAAACGGGATGTTTGGAGGAAAAATGTTCCTCTAAAATCCAAACAGTTACAACTTTTTCGGTTAATGCTTCCTATCTTAAAGAAAAAGCTGCCTTTTCCACAAAATTGAGCAACTCAGAAAGTTTAAATACGAGCGTTAGTAATGCCAGCCAAGGTTCCCCTTTAATTCCCACAACATCCGGGAAAAATACACATAATCCCAAGCCAGAATCGCACGCTAATAGTTCGGAAATTTCTGCTGCTATTAAGCAAAGAATTTTAAGGACCAATAGACTAAGAGCAAATGCAACATGCGAAACTGATGCCGACGAAATTTCTCAGCGATTTGCGAAAAAATCTGGTAGCAATGTTGCCCTAAAAGTGGAAAATTTTAATAAAAATTCGGTAAATTCCCAAAAATTCGAAAAATTTAATGAAAATACTCTTAAGTATAGTTCCTTAACAAATGAATATAAAAATGGCAACGCTTCCTTTGAATTCCCAGAGAATTCTTTAAAATCTCTTCAAAATTCCCAACATTCAAAATCGCTGGAAAACATTAAAATTTCAGAAAATTTATTAAATTCCCCAGAAATTTTAGGTGAAAAAATAGAAACTGGTTTTAGAAATTATGCTCAAGCAAACCCTGTTAATCGTAACGAATTCCCTAATGCAACATTAAAATCCCCAATTTCTCCAGTTTCTAAAAATTTAACAAGTTTCGTGGAAACTTTTGTTACAAATGTCGATACATCTTCCATTGATTCTTTAAATATTGATTCCCAAACATTTGCTGATAGTTCCCTAAAAACTTTTACAAAATCTCCTCAAAATACCCAAACTTATGGAAATTTGGATAATATCCTAAAAGAATCTGTTGAAAATATTGAAATAAATGATTCTCCAGGATTATCTGCACCTTCCCCGGAATTCCCACATATTATTACAAAATCTCCTCAGAATTCCCAAAATTGTGAATATTTTTCGAATTTACATGAAAATTCTTTGGAAAACAAAGAATTTTGTTCTAAAAATAATTCATTGATAGTTAATGCTTTACAATTCCCAAAACCTTTTTCAAAATCTCCTCAAAATTTCCAAATTTCGGAAAATATTTCAAATTTGCCGGAAATTTCGTTTAAAAAAGTTAAAATTTCTTCTAAAAGTGATGATTTTGATGTCAATTCCTTAAATGCTCCTAAAAAATCAACTTCTATTAATTCTCCAAAATCCCCTCAGAATTCCCAAAACTGTGAGAATTCTTTGAATATCCCAAAAATTCCGTTAAAAAAAACTGAAATTTCTTCTACAAATAACACTTTTATAACTAATGCCTTCGAATTCCCAAAAATTTCTTCGAAATCCCCCAAAAAATCCCAAATTTCTGAAAATATTTCAAATTTACCGGAAATTTCGTTTAAAAAAGTTACAACTTCTTCTGCAAGTGATAATTTTAATGTTTGTCCTTCGAAATTTCCAAAATCTGCTTATAATACTGAAAACTATGTTAATTCTATTACAAAATTTCCTCAAAATTCCCAAAACTGTGGCAATTTTTCAAATATTCCAGAAATTCCGTTTAAAAAACAAGAAAATTCTTCCAAAAGTGATAGTTTTATTTATAATTCTTTGGAATTCCCAAAACTCCCTTCAAAATCCCGTCGTAATTCCCAAATTTCTGCAAATTATTCGAATTCTAACGCAATTTCTGCGACAAAAGCTCAAACTTGCTCTACAAATGTTCCTTTTATGGCTAATTCTTTGGAATATTCAAAATCCTCTTCGAAAAGCCCTCATAATTCCCAATTTTCTGGCAACTATTCCTATTCTTCTGTAATTTCTGCGAAATCTTCCCAAAGTTGTGAAAACTTAACTAATTTTCCTCAATTTTCGAAGAATTTAACGAAATCTTCAGGAAATTCTCAAAATTTCTGTAATTTTCCTGTAATTGTTAACGAATCCTCTTTAGTTTTTCGAGATTCCAAGGAATCTTCGATATCCCAAAACTTGCCAATATTTTCTATAGCAAATAATGAAAAAATTTCGGTTACAAGTTTTAACACATTGCCGACTCCATTCTATGGAGACGTTTTTAAAAATTCTCATAAATTTGTTACGGATTCTTGCACGAAAGAGAATTTAACAAATTCAATCCAAACGATTACTGATTTTCATAAATCTGCCCTTAAAACTAACAAAATTGCGCAGGGTTCACAATCATATGGAAATTCCGAACAGATTATATCCGCTAAAGCTTTGAATACTCTTTATAAGGCTTCCTTAACTTCTTTAGAAGAGGATACTACTTCAACTTATTTAGGTTATAACCATTCCTTTAATTATCCCACTCCTCAGTTTCTGAGCAAATCACATTTAAATTTAAAAACAAAATTTTCTATTACACCAACTACTACAACAAAAACAACAACACCTACACCTTTTACAATGGTTAAGGACTTAAAAGAAACTACTACAACAGAAATTGCTACTACTTTTACTGCAACTACTACTACTACTACTAATTTTCCAACTAAGGTGGTGGCATTAAGTAATTTAAAACCAACAAATATTTCTTATGCAAATTCTTCTTTCTCTTCTTCTTCTTTACGTTACACAAATAAAGCAAAATATCAACAAAATACCACGACTACAACCACAACGACAGCGACAACTTTTACTCCAGCTCCACCTTTAAAAGTACAAGCAACAACTGCAACAACAACAACTATAAAAAATCCTCCTAAAGTTTTACCACGACGTTTATATAATAATAATAATGCACCCAAACTGGCAAAAACAACTATGATTTCCTACTCCTCTAATTCTACTATTACTTCCTCCTCCATCACCACCAACACCACTTGTTTTAAAACTACTTCAACTACTACTACTACTCCTTCAACTTGTAATGCTCCTCTACGTAGACGTATACCTGGCAATACGCTGTATTATGTTTGAATAACTTCTACTAGTTCTACTACTACTGCTCTTCTAAACTTTGTCTATTTCTCTTACATTCGCTCTTTTGTAAATGAGTGTGTTTTCTTAGTATTTTACTACCAACAACCACCACCACCTTCTTCTTCTTATTACTACTATTATACTTCTACTACTCTTCTACTCCACTTTTTACTAAGTATGTACTAAATAATTTAATTTTATAATTTTTTTATTATTATTATTTATATTAGAATAATATTTGTTTTAATAATTTTATAGGGTTTTAAGTTTAAGTTTTAATAGAGGTGCTGGTGTAGTTTATAGCTAAACAAAAACATAAATAATGCTTGGAAATTTGTTATCTCTTAACATCCCTCCCTTCCCTTTTTGTCCAAAAAACCACAACTTTATACTCTAAATATAATTATTTATAAAAAAATAGGAAAAACTTTAAACTATTTTTTATTGTTGAAGCCAAAATACCCTCAAAATCTCCTAAATTGTTGAAAATTTATGATTACTAGGCATTTCCCCTGTAATTTCTTTTAAGTTTCTCAAATTCTCAAAAATTTTTGTAAAATCCCCACAAAATTCCCAAAACTTTGATTTTTTTTTCAAATATGTTAAACTTTTTTTTAACAAGTAATACTTTCAATGTAAATTCATAGTAATTAAAGAAAAATTTATCAAATTCACTTTAAATTCCTTAAAACCTCTCAAAATCCCCTTAGAATTCCCAAAAAAAAATTTGAATTTCCACTAAATTTTTGTCCGAAATGTTGAAAATTTCTTCTACAAATGATAATTTTATTAATAATTCCTTAAGAATTCACAACAAATACTTCAAAATCTTCTCAATTTCCCAAATTCTCAAAAACTTTTTGAAAAATCTCCTCAAAATTCCCAAAAATTAGACAAATTTTAGAATTTTCTGTAAATTCCTGCCAACAAAGTTAAAAATTCTTTTACCAACAATAATAATTTCAAAATCTTTCAGAATTGCCAAAATTCCTAAAATCTCATTCAAAATCCCCACAAAATTTTCAAAATTTTTCGATTTCTTTGGAAAATTCTGTCAAAAAAGTTGAAAATACTTCTACAAATTATAAGTTTTTTGTTAATTCCTTAAGAATTCACAAAAATACTTCAAAATCTTCTAAATTTTCCAAATTCTCAAAAACTCCTTAAAAATCTCCTCAAAATTCCCAAAATTTATAGAAATTTTAGAATTTTCTGTAAATTCCTGCCAACCAAGTTAAAAATTCTTTAACCAACAATAATAATTTCAAAACCTTTCAGAATTGCCAAAATTCCTAAAATTTCATTCAAAATCCCCACAAAATTTTAAAAATTTTTCGATTTCTTTAGAAATTTCTGTCAAAAAAGTTGAAAATACTTCTACAAATGACAATTTTATTATTAATTCCTTAAGAATTCACAAAAATTACTTCGAAATCTCCTTATTTCCCAAATTCTCAAAAACTTTTTAAAAATCTCCTCAAAATTCCCAAAAATTAAACAAATTTTAAAATTTCCTGTAAATTCCTGCCAACAAAGTTAAAAATTCTTTACCAAATAATAATTATTTCAAAATCTTTCAGAATTGCAAAAGATTCCCAAAAACATTTTCAAAATCCCCACAAAATTTTCAAAATTTTTCGATTTCTTTGGAAATTTCTGTCAAAAAAGCTGAAAATACTTCTACAAATGACAATTTTATTATTAATTCCTTAAGAATTCACAAAAATTACTTCGAAATCTCCTTATTTCCCAAATTCTCAAAAACTTTTTGAAAAATCTCCTCAAAATTCCCAAAATATAGACACATTTTAGAATTTCCTGTAAATTCCTGCCAACAAAGTTAAAAATTCTTTAATCAACAATAATAATTTCAAAATCTTTCAGAATTGCCAAAATTCCTAAAATCTCATTCAAAATCCCCTTAAAATTTTCAATTTTTTTGGAAATTTCTGTAAAAAAAAAAATGAAAACACTTTTACAAATGATAATTTTATTGTTAATTCCTTAAGAATTCACAAAAAATACTTCAAAATCTTCTCAATTTCCCAAAAACATTTTCAAAATCCCCACAAAATTTTCAAAATTTTTCGTTTTCTTTAGAAAATTCTGTCAAAAAAGTTGAAAATACTTCTACAAATGATAATTTTATTGTTAATTTCTTAAGAATTCACAAAAAATACTTCAAAATCTTCTCAATTTCCCAAATTCTCAAAAGCTTTTTTAAAAATCTCCTCAAAATTCCCAAAAATTAAACAAATTTTAAAATTTTCTGTAAATTCCTGCCAACAAAGTTAAAAATTCTTTAACCAACAATAATAATTTCAAAATCTTCCAGAATTGCCAAAGATTCCCAAAAACATTTTCAAAATCCCCACAAAATTTTCAAAATTTTTCGATTTCTTTGGAAATTTCTGTCAAAAAAGTTAAAAATACTTCTACAAATTATAAGTTTTTTGTTAATTCCTTAAGAATTCACAAAAAATACTTCAAAATCTTCTCAATTTCCCAAATTCTCAAAAACTTTTTTAAAATCTCCTTAAAATTCCCAAAAATTAAACAAATTTTAAAATTTTCTGTAAATTCCTGCCAACAAAGTTAAAAATTCTTTAACCAACAATAATTATTTCAAAATCTTTCAGAATTGCCAAAGATTCCCAAAAACATTTTCAAAATCCCCACAAAATTTTCAAAATTTTTCGATTTCTTTGGAAATTTCTGTCAAAAAAGTTAAAAATACTTCTACAAATTATAAGTTTTTTGTTAATTCCTTAAGAATTCACAAAAATACTTCAAAATCTTCTAAATTTTCCAAATTCTCTAAAACTCCTTAAAAATCTCCTCAAAATTCCCAAAATTTATAGAAATTTTAGAATTTTTTGTAAATTCCTGCCAATAAAGTTAAAAATTCTTTAACAAAAAATAATTATTTCAAAATCTTTCAGAATTGCCAAAATTCCTAAAATCTCATTCAAAATCCCCTTAAAATTTTCAATTTTTTTTTTCTAATTTTTTTGGAAATTTCTGTAAAAAAAATTAAAACACTTTTACAAATGAGTATTTAATTGTTAATTCCTTAAGAATTCACAAAAAAATACTTCAAAATCTTCTCAATTTCCCAAATTCTCAAACAAAAATTTAAAAATCCCCTCTATATTCCCAAAATTTATACAAATTTTAGATTTTCCTGTAAATTCCTGCCAATACAGTTAAAAATTCTTTAACCAACAATAATAATTTAAAAATCTTTCAGAATTGCCAAAATTCCTGAAATCTCTTTCAAAATCCCCACAAAATTTTCAAAATTTTTCGATTTCTTTGGAATTTTTTGTCAAAAAAGTTAAAAATACTTCTACAAATTATAAGTTTTTTGTTAATTCCTTAAGAATTCACAAAAATACTTCAAAATCTTCTAAATTTTCCATATTTTCAAAAACTCCTTAAAAATCTCCTCAAAATTCCCAAAAATTAGACAAATTTTAGAACTTTCTGTAAACAAACTTTATCAAAATTTCCCGAAATTTCTATAGGAGTCATAGTAGTTTTATAAAGGAGTCATAGTAGATGTTAGATTTACTTTTTTTTTTGTTCTAAACCTTCAAGGGGACGGTTTAGAAGGGCCCAAAGCTAGAATTAAATGTAAAATGTTAACAATTTGGCGTTTTTTGTTTATAACTTCTGGAGATATAGAGGCCTTAAAGCTGAGTAAATGTTTTGCATTTGGTTGTTCTAGTACACCAAAGGCGGGATTGTTTAGAAGACCTTAAACTAAGGAACAAATTAAATTCTTTACAATTTTGTTATATTTCGTTGACAATTTAGCGCTTTTCTTATGCTAATTTCAAAAACTTTGTGTGGCTATTAATGACTTAAAGCTGAGTTAATGTTCTTAACTTGGTTGCTATAAATGTTACATAGTAAGGCGGTAGCCAGGACCCAAATAAAAATTGTTAACAATTTAGTGCTTTTTTTATCGTTAATTCCTAAATGGTTTAAGCGAGTTTAATAAAACTTGCTTTGTGTATAAAAAACTTAATCTGGCTGTTATAATTCTTACTAAAGGAAAAGTTACAAGTAGGGTTCTATAGTTGAAACGAAAAGTCGACTTTTCGACTTTTTGCATTTGGTTAAAAGTCGACTTTTCGACCTTTCGACTTTTTCCATTTTATGAAAAGTCGATTTTTCGACTTTTTTCTTTTTCATTTATTTAAAAGTCGACTTTTAGACTTTTCGACTTTAAGTATTTTATAAATGGTCGACTTTTCGACTTTTTCCGACTTTTCGACTTTTTCCGACTTTTTCCGACTTTTTTCGACTTTTTCCGACTTTTCGACTTTTTTCGACTTTTCGACTTTTTCCGACTTTTTTCAACTTTTCGACTTTTTCCGACTTTTTGACTTTTCGATTTTTTACGACTTTTTGACTATTTTCGACTTATTTAGACTTTTTTTCGACATTTTTCGACTATTTTTTACTTTTTTCGAGTTTTTCCGACTATTTTAGAGTTTTTGACCTCTTTTCCACTTATTTAAAATTTTCGACTTTTCAACTTTTTCCGACTTTTCGACTTTTTTCGACTCTTTTCGACTTATGACTTTTTTCGACTTTTCGACTTTTTTCGACTTTTCGACTTTTTTCGACTTTCCGACTTTTCGATTTTTTTTCGACTTTTATTTACAAAGTCGACTTTTCGACTTTTTTCATAGACGATAGTCGAGTTATCGTCTTTTTTGGGACAAAATAGTCGACTTCGACTTTTCGACTTTTTTCGACAAATAGTCGATTGTTCGATTATTCGAAAGTCGATTTATAGAACCCTAGTTACAAGAACTTAAAGTAGCAAACTTTTGTTCTAGAAAATTTTGAGAGTGTTGATAATTCAGTGCTTTTTTTTACAGTAATGATGTTTGCAAAAAAATGTGTTTTATTGTTTCTGTTAAGTATTAATTGTATTTTGTTAATTTTTTATACAAATTTAGTTGTTTTGCTAAGTTAAAACTATTTTTTTTAGAAAATAAAACAAATGTATAAAAAGTTGGCTAAAAGTTTGATTTAGTTGAAAAAAAAGTAGTTTTTATTAAAAATATCATAAATTTGCTAGAATTGGCACTTGAAAAAAATTCAAAATTTTTTGTAAAAATTGTAAACAACATTGTCATTTTCATGTGTGTGTGTGTTTGTCCACTTTAAAAACTGAATATACATACTATATTTTAAAAAATTCCCGATTTTTTACAAAAATCATAATTTTTATTTTTTCTTTTTTTATTCTTAATTTTTTTCCAGATGTTATTTAAACATCCCAACTCGTAACATGCTAAAAAAAATTATACAAATTAAAATTAAAAATTTGTTTAATTGAAAACAAAAAAACGATGCTAGTGTGCCTAAAGCAAAACAAACATAAAAAAACATTTCTACTTAAAAACTCCAAATAATATTTGAAAAATAAAATTGAATTAAAAAAAATATACACCAAACAAAATTCATATGCCAAAACCATAAACATTTTTAAACAACAATCATATTTAACATTTAAAAAAAAAAAACCGGCCAAAACACAGCAGTTCTATTCTACTACCTACTCCCTAAAAAAATAGTGGTATTAAGAGTGTTATTTTCTTAAATTTATACAAAAAAAATTTTTGCTCAATTTATTTGTTTTTTTAATATTTATTTATATATATATTTGTATTTATCCATATAATTATAACAAAAAATAAAAACATTTTCATTAAAATCTAAACAAATCGTTTAAAAAAACATAATCCATATTTAAGGTAACTAACATTTATTTTTTCAAAAAAAATTAATTTCATGTAAATGTTTTATTCTTATATTATTATAATTTACTAATCTATAATGCTGTATTTATTTATTAACTTATTATTTAAACAACAACAAAAAATCATACATACCAATAAATTATTATATTTTTATTTTCAAAAAAATCTTAACAGAAATTAGAAAAAATATTTAAGAGAAGTGTTTTGAAAGAAATAATTAATAAAATTGTATTTAAATAAAACAAAAACTTATTTATTTATTTAAAAAATATCATAGTTTCTAAGAAAAACGTTTTTTACATCTTTTTTCATAAATGCAACACTTTTATTATCATTGACAACACCGTCTTCTTCTACGTTATTACCCATATTATTACCCTTAATAGTAGAAAACTGTATTATCTTAGTTATATATTAATAGGCATAAAAAATGCCTATTAATTTGATAAAGCAGTGTTTAGTAATATACTGCAGGCGTGGAAAATTGGATTTTTGAAATAGTATTAAGAACAAAATAAGTAATTTACAGGTTTAATGTACTAAACTAATTTTCCTCTAGACTATAGACCAAACTATGAGCAAGACTATAGACTATACTGTAAACTAGGCAACAGACTAGATTATAGACTAGACTATAGATTCGATTATGGACTTCACTGTATACTAGACTATAGACTAAACTATAGACTAGACTATAGACTAGACTATAGACTAGACTATAGGCTAGACTATAGACTAGACTATAGGCTAGACTATAGACTAGACTATAGACTAGACTATAGACTAGACTATAGACTAGACTATAGACTAGACTATAGGCTAGACTATAGACTAGACTATAGACTAGGCTATAGACTAGACTATAGACTAGACTATAGACTAGACTATAGACTAGACTATAGACTAGACTATAGACTAGACTATAGACTAGACTATAGACTAGACTATAGACTAGACTATAGACTAGACTATAGACTAGACTATAGACTAGACTATAGACTAGACTATAGACTAGACTATAGACTAGACTATAGACTAGACTATAGACTAGACTATAGACTAGACTATAGACTAGACTATAGACTAGACTAGACTATAGACTAGACAGACTATAGACTAGACTATAGACTAGACTAGACTTAGACTAGACTAGACTATAGACTAGACTATAGACTATACTATAGACTAGACTATAGACTAGACTATAGACTAGACTAGACTATAGACTAGACTATAGACTAGACTATAGACTAGACTATAGACTAGACTAGACTATAGACTAGACTATAGACCAGACTATAGACTAGACTATAGACTAGACTATTGACTCGACTATAGACTAGACTAGACTATAGACTAGACTATAGACTAGACTAGACTATAGACTAGACTATAGACTAGACTATAGACTAGACTATAGACTAGACTATAGACTAGACTATAGACTAGACTATAGACTAGACTATAGACTAGACTATAGACTAGACTATAAACTAGACTATAGACTAGACTATAGACTAGACCATAGACTAGACTATAGACTAGACTATAGACTAGACTATAGACTAGACTATATAGACTATAGACTAGACTATAGACTAGACTATAGACTAGACTATAGACTAGACTATAGACTAGACTATAGACTAGACTATAGACTAGACTATAGACTAGACTATAGACTAGACTATAGACTAGACTATAGACTAGACTATAGACTAGACTATAGACTAGACTATAGACTAGACTATAGACTAGACTATAGACTAGACTATAGACTAGACTATAGACTAGACTATAGACTAGACTATAGACTAGACTATAGACTAGACTATAGACTAGACTATAGACTAGACTATAGACTAGACTATAGACTAGACTATAGACTAGACTATAGACTAGACTATAGACTAGACTATAGACTAGACTATAGACTAGACTATAGACTAGACTATAGAATAGACTATAGACTAGACTATAGAATAGACTATAGACTAGACTATAGACTAGACTATAGACTAGACTATAGACTAGACTATAGACTAGACTATAGACTAGACTATAGACTAGACTATAGACTAGACTATAGACTAGACTATAGACTAGACTATAGACTAGACTATAGACTAATAGACTAGACTATAGACTAGACTATAGACTAGACTATAGACTAGACTATAGACTAGACTATAGACTAGACTATAGATATAGACTAGACTAGACTATAGACTAGACTATAGACTATAGACTAGACTAGACTAGACTATAGACTAGACTATAGACTAGACTATAGACTAGACTAGACTATAGACTAGACTAGACTATAGACTAGACTATAGACTAGACTATAGACTAGACTATAGACTAGACTATAGACTAGACTATAGACTAGACTAGACTATAGACTAGACTATAGACTAGACTGTAGACTAGACTATAGACTAGACTAGACTATAGACTAGACTATAGACTAGACTATAGACTAGACTATAGACTAGACTATAGACTAGACTATAGACTAGACTATAGACTAGACTATAGACTAGACTATAGACTAGACTATAGACTAGACTATAGACTAAACTATAGACTAGACTATAGACTAGACTATAGACTAGACTATAGACTAGACTATAGACTAGACTAGACTATAGACTAGACTATAGACTAGAGTATAGACTAGACTATAGACTAGAGTATAGACTAGACTATAGACTAGACTATAGACTAGACTATATACTAGACTATAGACTAGACTATAGACTAGACTATAGACTAGACTATAGACTAGACTATAGACTAGGCTAGACTAGACTATAGACTAGACTATAGACTAGACTAGACTATAGACTAGACTAGACTATAGACTAGACTATAGACTAGACTATAGACTAGACTATAGACTAGACTATAGACTAGACCATGATGTAATAAGTTATATTGTAATTTTTAACAATTGGCTGCTTTTCAATGAACTACTGCTATAAGTGATGACAACTTCTATTAAGTAAAAAACGAGCAAAAATTTTAAAAAATACAAACATTTAAAAAGCAACACTTCTTTTAAGTATTTTTTTTATAATTTCTTAAATTTTTCTTTTAATTTTCACATAAATGCACTGGTTTATGTTTTCTTTTAATATTTATTTAAAAAAAGTAGAAACTAGTAGTATAAAAAACTCTAAACTTTAATTTAAATATCATTAACAATTTTCACCAAACAAAATCAAAACATACTTTTTCTAGGTTCAGCACCACTTGGTTTCTACACGCCTCTAAAAGCACCCATTGATAGACTATTTCAATTGGGCGTAACACGAGCACCTTCACTAATCAGCAATGATTCACCCACAGAACCCAATGCAGCAGCAAATGGTAGACTTTTTAATGGTATTTGTGATGGCGATGGTAGTTTGGTGGGTTTGGGCGGTAATGGCAGTATTGTAGGCATTTCAGATGGTCTTATAACCGATGATATGGATATAAAAAAGACAACGGCGGCGGCGGGCGAGGCGGACGAAGAGCCTGAAAGTTTGCAATATATAAAACCAGCTGAAGATGATCTCAATATGGCCTACAGTGAAGGAACCCAAAAAACTGATTTATTGTACTGAAGATGAAGTGAAAATTGTGTGAGAGAAGAAAAAATATTTAATTTTTTTTTTTTTTTTTTGGAAAATTTTGTATTCGAAATTATATTGTGATTTTCTTTTTACTATTTATATACATAAAATACAATATAATAATAGAATTAGTTTTAGTAAAGGAAAAGTTATAATAGCTTTTCTGTTGAATGTGAGTGTTTTTTGTAGAAGTTATGCAAGTAATAAGAAAATTCTATAAATAATTAAGAAATTTAGTTTAAAAATAACAGAGTTTCTCCAGAATTCGCTTGAAAATAGCAAGGGATTTTGAAAATAATAAAAGAAAGCTGAAAAATTAATAATATATGCTTTAGAAAATGCTGAAACTAGTTGTATAAATAAACAAAATTTTTGCAAATATTTTGAAAGCATTTAATAAAGCTTAATTTAAAGTGTATTTTAATTTAATTTTTATAAATATTTAAGAATTATTGGAATTTTTTTGGAAAAGAAATGAAATTTAAAGAAAGTAAAAATTTTCTTTTCTTTTTTTGTCATTTGAATGGAATTTTTCTTATTTTCCAATAAAACATTCTAGTATTATTGTAATTTTATAAAAACTGCTTAAATTTCTTTGTATTTATAAAGTAAATTACTTTTTAGAGGTTTTTTATTGACAACACTCTTTAATTTTTATAAACAACACTGTTGGTAACGGTATTACCTTATATTGAAAACTGTCTTATCATTTCAAACAAAAAACACTGAAACGTAACAAAACAAAGTGGCAATATTGTTTTGGAGATAACAAGGTATAATAACATTGTAGTCAATATAACAAGAGTTGAGTGTTGTGTTAGAAAACCATAAATTATAAATAAAAAATTTTAAATATGTTTCAAACTATTATAAATAAAACTTTATTATTGAAATAAATCAAAATCCCTTTAAATTTTGGAAAAAACAAAATAAATACCTTGATTAAGTAATTAATTCTTTATAAATGTTATTTTTTTTTTTTGTTTTTTTTTGTTTAATAAAAATTTGTATTTTTCTTAAAATTTAAAACATTTTGTTGAGATTTTGTTTGCTTTTTTCTAACCAAATTTTTTAAAAATTTCTTTTGTTTTTTGCAAAATATTGAAAAAATATAATAACTATTAAAAAATACTTATAATTAATTAAAAAAAAAAAATCAAGCTAAATATTCAAAATAATTTTATACATTTTTTATAGTATTTTCTTTAAAAACTAAGTAATTATGTTTTAATAAAAAATTGAAAAATTTTAATTAATTTTATTTAAAAAAGAAAATTTTTCTTATATAATTAAAACAAATAAAACATTTAAATATAATTTTTTTTATACATTTTAAGATTTATTTATTAATATTACCATTAAATATAAACAATTAAATACCATATTATAAACGTTTAAGTAAAAAATATTCCAAATCTTATGTGAATCATATATAATTTAATACATGATAATGATGTCAAAAGAAAAACTGAAAAACCCCTTAAGAATTATTCAAAAGTAAAACAGAAAAAAAAAAAAATAAAATAAATATAAAAAATACAATGCATTTATTTATAAATAAATAACTAAAAGATTTAATAAATAACAACAGGATAGAAAACAAATCATAAGAATATAACATATAAATATTACAGTTTATAATAAAAATTATTATAAAAATAAAAAATAGAAGTTTTTCTATAAAATGTCCTTTCAAAATTAAGAAATCTTCTATAATCTGTTCTATAGAATAGTCAACATACTGGACTGTAGTTTAAAGTATAGTTTAGACTATAGAAAAGTTTATAGTTTGGACTAAAGTGTTGTTTGTAATCAGTATTACAGAATAATTTATCCTATAGAATAGTCTATAGTCTAGACTGTGGCATAACCTAAAGTACAGATTAAAAATTAGTCTCCAGTTTAGATTATAGATTAGTCCATAGTCTGAAGTATAGAAAGATCTACACACTTTACGATAAAACTGTCTATAGTCCGTACCACAGAACAGTCTGTAGCCTATACTATACAATAAACTATGGTCCAAACTATAGAATAGTTTAAGAGTTGGGACTACATAATAATCTATAGTTGGGACTACACAATTGTCTATAGTATGGACTATAGAATACTCTATTTCCAGAAATATAATTACAAAATAAATCAAATAAAAATACATATGAATTATTGAAAAAAAATGTGAAGTATGAAAGAAATGAAGTTTTATTTCTAAAAATAAATTCGGTAAGTTCGATGCAAAATATAAGACTAGATTGGAGATACTAATTAAAGCAAGTCGATAAACCAGTCTAAAGTATTGACTATAGACTACTATATAGTCAATATTATAGACAACTCTATAGTCAAGAGTATAGTATAGACTATTATAGTCTTAACTTCTTTATAGTCAAGAATATGAACAACTCTATAATCAAGACTATAACTATTCTATAGTCAAGACTATAGACTACTGTGTAGCCAAGACTATGACTTCTCTATAGTCAGGAGTAAAGACATCTCTTTAGTCAAGGCTGTAGACTACTCTATAGTCAAGACTATAGAGAACTGTATAGTCAAGACTATAGACTACTTTATAGTCAAGACTATAGACTACTTTATAGTCAAGACTATAGACTACTTTATAGTCAAGACTATAGACTACTTTATAGTCAAGACTATAGACTACTCTATAGTCAAAACTATAGACGACTTTATAGTCAAGATTATAGAATACTTTATAAACAACACTATTGTGTACTCTGTAGTCAAGACTATAGACTACTCTATAGTCAAGACTATAGACTACTCTATAGTCAAGACTATAGACTACTCTATAGTCAAGACTATAGACTACTCTATAGTCAAGACTATAGACTACTCTATAGTCAAGACTTTAGACTACTCTATAGTCAAGACTGTAGACTACTCTATAGTCAAGACTATAGACTACTCTATAGTCAAGACTATAGACTACTCTATAGTCAAAACTATGGACTACTCTATAGTCATGACTATAGACTACTCTATAGTCAAGACTATAGACTACTCTATAGTCAAGACTATAGACTACTCTATAGTCAAGACTATAGACTACTCTATAGTCAAGACTATAGACTACTCTATAGTCAAGACTATAGACTACTCTATAGTCAAGACTATAGACTACTCTATAGTCAAGACTATAGACTACTCTATAGTCAAGACTATAGACTACTCTATAGTCAAGACTATAGACTACTCTATAGTCAAGACTATAGACTACTCTATAGTCAAGACTATAGACTACTCTATAGTCAAGACTATAGACTACTCTATAGTCAAGACTATAGACTACTCTATAGTCAAGACTATAGACTACTCTATAGTCAAGACTATAGACTACTCTATAGTCAAGACTATAGACTACTCTATAGTCAAGACTATAGACTACTCTATAGTCAAGACTATAGACTACTCTATAGTCAAGACTATAGACTACTCTATAGTCAAGACTATAGACTACTCTATAGTCAAGACTATAGACTACTTTATAGTCAAGATTATAGAATACTTTATAGACAAGACTATACAATATTATATAGTCAAGACTATAGACTACTCTACAGTCAAACTAGAGACTACTTTATAGTCAAGACTATAAACTACCCACTCTATAGTAAATACTATGGACTACACTATCACCAAGAATATAGACTACTCTATAGTCAAGACTATGGACTGCTCTATAGTCAAGACTGTATACTACTCTATAGTGAATACTCTAGTCTACTCTACAGTTAGAAATTCTAAAATTTTTTTTCCATTTATTTCTTCTAAGTTTTTGCAATTTTTGTGAAATCTATTACGTAATATACTGCAGTTTTATTCTCTTTTAGACATATTTTCCGCCTTTAAGGCGTTCCATCCATTTACGGCTTCATTTCTGAATAAATTTTCTTTTCATTCTCTTGCTTTATTACAAACTAAATGTAAACTTAACTAATGCAATTTTTTCCTTTCATTAATTTGCAACTTTTTACCACGAAGGTTAAGTCCACCAGACTTTGGTGTTACCATTCAAAGGATCATTACGCGTTTCCTGTTTAATTTGCACATTCTCATCATATTCATCTAAATGTTCTTCAACTAATTGTTCCTCATCCTCCTCTATGTCATCACTATGCAAAATGGTGGTATTATCGTTGCTACTGGAGACATTAGCTTGATTGGCATCGTCCACATAGAAACGTAAGACTTTGAGAATTTCTATTTTAGCACTTAGCTTACGGGTATCGTCCAATTTACGTAAAGTGGGCACCAGCGATAGACAGAATGTAATATCACCATCACGTATTTTGAAAGTGGAATTGGTCGAACTACTACTATCGGTTTTCTTTAAGACATTAAAATTTTTGATAACGGCCTCTTTCGGAGTGCGATTGACTGCCGGAGTGCTGGAGGAGGAGGGTTTGTTCTGTAGCACTTTAAATGTGGGTTTTATGATGCGTTTAGGTTTGGGACGTTCTTCTACCACCTCTTCTTGCACAACAACAACGCTGTTATGAGGTACATATTTACTGTCTTCCTCTTCTATATTTTCACTTTCATTGAGAAAAGCCTCCATATCAATGTCGGCTTCATTACTCACACACTCGCCCACCTCTTCTTGATCCTGTGTCACAATCTCCTCTTCAACCACTTGTTCTTTTTCCTTGAGACGTTTGTTTATGGAGGGCAATTTGTAGCCCACAAAAGGACGCACAAATTCCATATCATCATAGTAAACATATTTACGTTTCTTATGAGCCTCACCCGCTTCCTCTAGCTTAATTTCACGATAGAAATGATCCTTCAAATTTTTCCATTTGGTGGCAATTTCACCCACTGTAAGGAAAACAAATT